CGAGGGATGCAGTCTGACCCCAAGCCAACTACAGTTGACACAAATAGTCCTCTTCTTTTTACAGAATGCAGAATCCACAATATTGGACCGTCCAAGCAGGCAGCACAACCATCGATGTAAGTTGGTTATGATTACTTTATTAGTACATAAATAACAGTTAAATTAGAAAGTTTTGGCCTGCAGTACAGAACCAAATATTTCTCTGTCTGTCATATTGAATAGGGCAAAAATATCCGTGCTCTTTGGATACCTTTTACCTTCCTTTAAAAACGCGCATAATGATCTTCGTATTTAGTCCTTTGAAGGAATGCAGATTAATTCGACGTGCCTTAATTCGTATTCATATCCTACACGCCTTGTCGGGTTCAGGACAATTTGCCTTCTCCGTTCAATAGACACTTATTCAATTGACCAGCACCATTTTTATCCAGGCTGTATCTTTATGACTTGAACTATTTTCGTAAGCTTGCTCTCGGTTCTACCTCCACCTTCCAGTTCCTAGACAACTGTACATTTTTAAGGGCATGGTGAGAAGAGCCTGGCGGAGATCTGACACCTGGGCCAACACATTTACCGCTTTATACAATTAGAGCGTTACAGAAAAATTCTGGCTCGCAAAAACTTGCCTTGGGCACTTAAATACACTAGTACGTAATATGTCGATAGGCTACATTTTTGTCCTCCCTCGTCTACAAACGCCCTCAATATTACCGATGTTTTTTTGAAATTCCGGATTTCCTTGTCTGCTGCTTATTCTCTAGTTCACGTTGTAAAAACTATCGTAGCTGGCCGATAGACTTGACTTTCAGATTTCTAGCGTTTCTGCTTATCTGCTGATAAGGCCTGATGTTGTCCTCAAAACCTAGTGACATTGCACAGTTTGTACGGTATCCAAATTATTGTTTTCCTAATTATTTCAAAATTTTCCGAAAGAAATAATATTTCTCTAAGGTTGATGAAGGGGAAAGATGGCGATACAAACATGTCGGCATAGGGTTTGACTTATCGATGCTTCTGCTCAGATAACGTGCAGTTAAAAGAACCGCTAGGTTTACGAAATTCGAAATGTAGATTCCACAATTTTTTGCAGTAGTCATATCTTTAATACTGGACATGCTGTTTTATTATTAGTGAAAGTAATCTAAAGTCTGCTCCTTTAAATTATAAATTAATCTGATAACATACAAGCACTTCTACAAAATTGTTGATCTCGGATAACTGAGGGAATAAGGTGAACAACAATCAACTTTCAGTCCTCTAAAAGTACTTCAGTTATCACGACAGCCAGTTCTAACGTTCGCGAATTAATGATATGGCTTACCATCGTACTAGTGAAGTGTGCTTACTTAACCAACCTTCACATTTTTGTATCTAAAATTCTGCAAATTAGGCTCAATTTCCGCCACTGACCTGCTGAGAAAGCTTAATTTTCGCCCTCTTCCTGGATGGTTCTTGATTGTTTTTCACGCTTTCCCAAAATTGCAGCTGCGACATAACGGTGTACTAGGCTATGCTAGACGAACCCAAGACAACGTATTTGCCGACAGGATGGAGGAAACTCAGCCAGTGGACAGGTTTCTCAAAGTTTTACAGACTTTCCTTAAACGGTGAGTTCAGCAACCGCTGTTTTACTTTTGAAAAACTCTCAGAGGCTGGGCACAGAAGTGATGGAGACCTTTTCCTATTCATTTCAGAGTCAGTACATTTGTTTCGAAACCAGCTTATGGCTTCGGACAATATCCGGCCAGAAGAATCCGAATTGACCGAATCATTTTACATCCAAAGTATATAGATGGTAAGCTATTTCCTGAGAATACACCCTCTCCTACTTTGGTGAAGTCTGTGATTGTGTAACGCCCGCGCGCCATGTTGTCCTTAGGTAGCGTATCTTCTTCCTGATTATGGCCGGTACTCAGTCGTTCGTCTACGT